AGGGCCTCTATGCATACCTCCCAGAGGGTGACATGCCAGCTTGCCCAACAATGCTGGTTATATGACGGTTGGTGAGATGATCGTTACCTAGGACAGTCATTTTGACCAAAAATGGTCCTCTTAACTTTTACTAAAAGTATGATCTGACCTTTTAACCAAAAATGGTAATAATACTGATTTTCAAATATGATATGCCCTCAGTGTTCATCATACTATACTCGTCACTGTCCTTTAGAAAAAAAGTGACATAAATGAATGACTTGAACATTTAATGGCTTTTAAGGTTCTTTCTAGCTTAAAGTTAATGAACATATTACCTACAAATAGTGGCCACAGCAAACAGAGAGAGCTGAGACAGAAAGGCACAAACATTTAAAAGGAGAAACTGGAATAAAATGATTAGGTATGTTGGACACTAGAGAAACGCAAGCATTTGCTATCAAAGTTGAAATAGTAAAACATTAAGAACGTAATTAGTGGAGAAATGGTTGTGGGGAGGGAGCCATCCTTCCTCATCATCATCAACAACAAATGTTGACCAACTAACACCAGCAGTCATTCTAGATAGGCACGGTGGCCTTGGGAGTGGCCATGCCCTGCTTGACTATGGTGTACAAGGTCTGCTTCTAGCCCAGTCCTCACAGTTATTGTCTGGGAAAGCAAGTCTTGTGGAGAAGGGGCCAGACATCTACACACAGCAGGCCCAGGAGCCTTGGGAAGAATAACACTTCCCAGTCTGGTGCCCTCACTCATTCAGGGACAGATCCCCTGTGGAGATGCGCCTGGCAGGAGCTCCTGCAGGGCCTACAGCGTCACCTAAGGAGGACCCAGAAAAGCAAGTTCTTGCCCCCAAAGTCTTTGGTACTAACCTTCACCCTAATTCCAATGGTTCAACATCAGAAAGTGATTAAGATTTTATTGGAAAAGGTATCACCATCAGCTTTGCTATTTCACCCTAAGCACCATGGGTGGTCCATTCAACTTGCAGCTCAAATGTCTCATAGGTGTTGTCTTTCCCATTAGAGCATGAGCTTTGTGGGGTGCAGTCTTACTTGACTAATATGATTTCCAGTGCTTGGTTACATAGTAAGCCAACTTAATCAATGCTTTGAAGATCCTATTCATTCCTGAAGTTACGATTTAAAGTGAAAGGATATCAAAGAACTGTGAAAACCATTGGCCTTGATTACTATATATTCAGAGAGTCGAAAAGTTAGCATGGTAGAGCTGAGTCAGGAAGTCCCTAGTTAAAACCCACCTCTGAAGCTCATCTGGCCCTATTTAATAACCCTCAGTGCCTCCTGCAAACTCCCTAAGCCAGCTGATCTACTTTAGTGAAGGGATTTTCCATACCAAGAGTTCTCTATACCAGTGAAATTGCACGTCCCTTTCTAAACGACAGTGGAGAAAAGTACATGGAAATTGGAGATTTCATTTTTTTATTTCAACATCCAAGGATACCAATTGACCAGGCAGAAAGAGCTTTGAGAACCAAAGACATGTAACACATAAAAACATTAACAAATACCATGAAGAATATAAAACAGCAGCAAACCACGTACCTTTTTCTTCAAAGTTTGGTCACTTAGATTACAGGGAAAATTAAAAAAAAAAAAACAAGGTTGAATGACTAAGACAGAGGTACAAATTGGGGGTGGTATGCTAATATGCCCTTAAATGAAGGCATCTATAGTTCTAAATATTCATTATGGAAACAAATAGGAGATCTGAGGTGTTTTATTTTTTGATAAAATTTAATCATTTTGTTCTGAATAGCAAAATTTACTCCATGTCTTCAATGGACGATTTGTAGGAATGAAGATCAGAAAGGCTCTTCAAAGATCACTGTGGTGTGATGATGATAGTGATGGTGATGATGATGATGATGATAAGTAGAAGAAGAAACGTATATATAGTGCTTCTCACGTCCTTGCTGGGCCATGCATTTTTATCTCATTGGATTGTCATAACCTTGAGAGGTAGGTGCTATTATCATCTCCATTTTACATATGAGGAAACTGAGGTAAACAGAGGTTAAGTGACTTGCCCAGGGTCACACAGGTGGTAAGTTATGTGAAGCTTTACTTTAAACTCAAGTGTCCCGGGCTCTGGGGGGAGCCAGTGCTCGATCCACTGCAGTGCCACCTAGCTGCTTCTATACCAACTCCCCCTTCCTATGTATCATAGTGGCATGATCATTGTTGTCCCCACTTAGCCGCATAATGAGGGAGGGAGCATATGTTAGTGAAATTGTCTAGATTTGTAGTCATGAATACCTGGTCTCTTATGTTTAATACTAGGCTATGTGATGACTCTGATCAGGTCGGTGAATAACATATTTTGGCATCAGGAACTCCTTGTATTTGCCTACTACATCACTGATTAGCTGCAACTTGTGTTGGTGGAGAGGCCTTGGATCCTTCATGTGTCTGCCTGTCCAACATTAAAGTCATGCTGGCCAGTCCATCATCAGCACACTGAGTGCTGACATGAATTATCTAGGTCACTTGGGCCTAATGAGCTCTGATCGTTGGAAATGTTTTGAGAACAAGTTTAGCAACAAACATCCTAGAATAAGCCCAAGCTAGGTTGTATTTAAACTCTATAGTTCAATGGCTAATATGGCGATGTTTTGTGTGGGTACCTATCATATTGCTTGCCTTCTCCATGGATGGAGGAGAGGCAAGAAAGAGAGAGAGAATTTGGAACTCAATTTTTTTTAAATGAATGCTATTAATAAAAACTCTATCAATCAAAATAGTCAATATCTCTTTACTCTAGACTACTCCTGACACCCTGGAAATTCACTTCAGTCCCTTGATTTCTCTCACACTAGCAATATCTGCTGCTCCTGCAGCCTCTTCCTCTAAGGTTGGCCAGTGTCCTTCCAGAACCTCAATTTTAAGGAAAGTCCTCAGGCCAGCCATGTCTAATTGCCTGAGTTCACTCAGGATTTAATCCCAAGTATTCCATTTTCTGGTTCTGGACATGGAGAACTTCCCTCAAGGAACTACATTTTTTATTTAGTATGGTGGTTGGGATTCATACATTAAATATCCACACAAATAGACACCCCCCTCCGCCACAGAAAACATCATTGCCACCTCACCATTGTTGGTTAGACAGTACAGATCCAGATCTCCTATATACAGAGCAGAGGTCCATTAGAATGTGAAGTGTCTGACTGTAAAGGTCCATCCAAGATTATGTTACGTCCATTTCCAGAATTACTTTCAGAGTATAATGCTTTGCAAATATCCCTTTAGTTTAAGTCTGAACAGCAAGAAATTCCCTCAAGAAGCTATGTTGATTTATTTTGCAGATTGTGTATCAACCACTCATATTCATGAACATATTACCAACAAATACACACACAAACACATAAAAACGAGGGCCTACATTGTTGGGCTGAAAGGGACTAGACTTGATGATACATGAAGTAAGATACAGAGCCGAGGCTTTTTAGAATGTTAAGCATCTTGACTGTTGAAAGATAAAGATTCTGTTATGTCCAGTTGCCCCAGTTATCTCTCACAATGCAATCCTCGACATCCATTTATTTTGAAGCTGAACTTCAAGAATGCCTTCACTGATTTATTGCATTCATGGTATAGTGACATGACAACATGCTTCTGACCCAGGTAAATTACCGTCGTATGGACCTTCAAAATCACCTTATCTGCAAATAAAAATAAGCATCCTTAAATGACCTATGCTATTTTCTTTCCTACTTCAGATGCAATCTTAATAGATCAGCTTCTACATTTCCCCATAATAATAATGATGCTGGCTAAATGAGGAATCCTTAATTAAATAATTATATTATCACTGATATTAAAATAAGACAGATAAAGTGCATTACAAATGAAACACACACACACACACACACACACACATGGGCCAACATTGATAATCCAAACATAATGTTGGGTTGTAAGGTGACAGAGTTGATTCTCTATACAGAGCTGAGGCTCTCCAGATGCTCTCCAGCATCTGACCATGAAAGTTGTCACGATTACTCCTCAGGATTCAATCCGAAACAATCCATCTATTTTGAAGCAGAGCTTCAAGAATCTCCTTCAAATACCTCTGCTGATTTATTTTCCAGATTGTATTCGTGGTGTGGTAACATAACATTCCTCTGATCTACAGTAAGTTACCTGTGTATGACCTTCAAAATGACTTTATTTCCCCAGGCCCTCATTTCTCATTTGTTAAAAAAAACCATAAAGCGTATTTAAATGATCTTTAAGATTCTTTCCCACATTGGATATAATCTAATTATTGGCTTGACTTCTAGCATTGCTCCATAACAACAATGCTAGTTAAATAAGGACTTCTTAATTAAATAAGTGATTCTTAATTAAATCATTGTATTATTACTGATATTTTAAAAAAACAGATAACGTGTATCAATACCACAAAATATGCACACAAGGGCTAAAATTGATAACACTCAACAATTTTGGGTTGGAAGGCAACTAGATGTGACCCTGACATTACAAAGCTCATGCTTGTTAGAATGGCTGGCACCTGACCCATGAAAGGTAAAGACTGTGTTATATCCACTTGCCACCATTGCCTCTCAGGATTTAATCTCAAATATATCCCTTCATTTTGAAGCTGGAATTCAAGAGTCTCCCCCAAAGATCTTTGTTGGTTTATTTTTCAGATTAGTGGTATGGTAACATGACAAACACATTCTTGACACTGGGAAAAATTACATTTGACCTGTGTGTCAACACAACTTATTTTAACCTTCCTCAGAACTCATTTCTTGATTTGCAAATATGTGTGTGCATGTACACATATGTATACATGTGTGTCATGTACACATATGTATACATGTGTGTATGTATGTGTGCACACACATGTGTGTGTGTATTTGATGTTTCTCTGATCTCTGACATTCTACCCACCTTGGATGCAAATATCATTGGCTCAGATTCTATCGTTTCTCTATAATAATAATCTGGCTAAATAGGGAAATTCTTAGTTAAATAAACAATTTCTTTACTATTGGAATTATTATTGATATTTAAATAAGCCAGATAAAGTGTATATACCAAGAAACCTTACCCACACATATAAAACATACACACACATGAATGCAGGGCCATCATTGATAACCTAAAATTTGGGGGCTGAAAGCTACTAAATGTTATCCTATATGTAGTAAGATAGCAGAGCAAAAGAGGGAAAATCAAATGTTCCCAACAGGGTGGATCATTTCAAAGGGGAAAGGAGAGTGGGAGAGGAGGGGATTGATAGGTGGAGATCAATCAACTGGCTCTAACCATGTACAGGGTTGAGACTCCAGTGACTAGAGAAGGGGCAGGGGCTTCTTTCTATTTAGGAACTACATATTCCTTCCTTCATTAACTCCAAAGGGAAACCGTTCCCTTCCTCAGAGGGGAAGAAAGGCCCCACTCTGGGACAGTCTATAAAGAAAACCAGGCAGTCACTCAGTGCAGTGGCCATCACCAACAGAGATGGAACCGCAGGGCCCTGGACTGAGCCCTGAGCAGAGACCACAAAAGCCCTCAAGGAGGCTCCTGCAATCAAAAAAAAAAAAAAAAAAGCAGGGATACATACACAATGGGGGAGGGAAATGACAACAAAACAGAGAAATGGAACTCTTTTAAAGTTGGCGTTGAGGGGCAGCCTATGGGCCAACAGCCTGTTTGGGCATCATTCCAGTAACAGGAGGAGAATGGAGCCTGGACTCTCTCTAAAGCCCTGGCACACGACCCAATATACCATTTCCCAAAGTGCACCCAAGCAGTACAAATCAAAGACAAACATCTGCACCCTCACCATGTAAAATACATCATCCCTCTCCCAGGCTCCTTCGCCACTTGGTCTCAGCCCCAACCTGCACTCACAGACTCAGCAGAGCAAATAAAAGGATTCTTACACATCTCCAAACTTTCATTTATTTCCCCTTCATGTGGCCAGAATATCTCTATACTGTCATCCTGTCTTCCATAATGCCCCATCCAAATGTGCAGCTCAGCTGAGATTTCGGAGAAAAGATGAAGACTCAAGAATAGTAATTCATCAGGCTGTTTTTGCAGTCAGAAAAAGATCTCAGAGGTCAATGCAATATCCAATATGAAGGAGGGCTCATTCTCAAACCCTCTGGCCCTTACTGCTGGTCGTCTCCCTGCAGACTTAGACAGGCAGAAAGAAAGAAGGTGGGGGAGGGGGGTCTTAGAGAACAGGGTGAGGGCCCTAATGATGCTTCGCTGGGCTTGGGCCAGTAGAGTCCAGGGAGGATCTCAGGGGCCAAATCTGGAGAGAGAAGTCAGAGGTCAACAGGAACAACACAGGAACTGGAGACTTGTTTTCCTCCTCAGGTCCATACCAGGCAATTCTCTCAAGCTGAAGAAGGAAAGACAGACTCGGGGACATCCTCCAAGTCCCCTCTGGCCTCCAGCCTCTCATCATTCTGAAGGGCCTGCCTCACCACCCATCAAGTCCTCAACCCAACCTCTCACATACCCTTCTC